CCTTTTCTGAATCAAAATGACACTTTTCCAAAGATTCTGGCTGAATTCTTGGCAAAGCCACAAGAGTTTATTCAGAACCCAAGAATATCAAGAGAAGTTAACATTACATCGTTTTACAAATCCATTAATACATGTAAACATACATTAATCTAAACATGTTCAACACGTCTTTAAAGGGAATATACATCATTTGCTTGTGCTGTAATTTTCAGAAATGGATGGAATTGGGGAGTTGGAAATTTATAGCAAATATAGTTACACTGACTTTTTTGAGGTTTTGGGTTCGAAAATGCTATAAAAACCAAGAAAAACAATCATTTTCCTGTAGTCTGGTTCCCCGACTCCACATAAGAAGAAACAGAGCAGTTTACATACATTGGGGAATTGTAAGGTCAGGGAACCAGTCTAGCTGGCTTGTACCTGTTCATAGGTGTGTAATTGATTGCAAACGAGTGCGATGGACAATTGGGGCCAGTATTTGAAGGAAAAAAAACCAGTTTTTTCCAACGCTGGTCGGCCGACCAGCATTGGAAATTGATACAAAAATACCACTTTTCTTGAAAATGACAGTATACCAGGTGCCATGATTTTACAGGATGCTTTACACTGTCATTCACTAACAGTTAGCAAGGTATTTCAAAATGATTTGGTAGTTTCATTTTTTGATGTTTGCAAATGTTGTTTTTTCCCTTTAATACAACGCCTAAGCGCGGATACAGAGGGGTCGAACACAACACCCCCCCCCCTTTTGCAGAGGCACAAACATAAGGTATAACAATTATATAGTAATAATAATTACCTTTATGTCCACCTGTCCGCAACAATCGGTAAATTAAAAATTTACGGGCCTGAATCACCCCTTCGCAAATTCCTGGCTCGCGTATTTGATCAAAACTAAAATAGCTGTTCAAAACCAAAATCGCTGGCAATTACATCAGGAATCATTTTCCTAACACGTTTGTTTTGCAAAAGTACTGATAGCTGTTTCAAGATCTGCTGTATAATAGTGTAGCCACTTTTTGTTCTATTATTTTTTTTATAATTTAGGTTTTATATAGGTTTTCCCGGCTATTATAAAACGTTTATCATTCGATTCACCGTTTCTAACTAAACTTAACGTTGACTTTTTTGGTTATCATGTTCTGTAGACGCGCAGTTACCATCAGTGTTATTTACATGTTATAATACACATTATGCTTGTTCTTTTCTTTACTAATTATTTGTAAAAGATTATTGTTTTCAATTTGATGTAACCATGTACATCGTTTTACACATCCAAATATTAAACCACATTACAAACACACAATAAAACATCTATTCATAACTCATTATACATTGATATTTCTAATTATCCCTATAGTGAAAACTGAACTCGCTGAAATCGCTAATGAAAACTGAAATAGCTGCTGATAAACATATCATAAGTTATTTTAACACAATGCGTAGAGTATGTATAACTCAAGTAAAGTAACCATTTTTTGTGTTCCCTTGGTTTGAGGGCTTCTATATCAATAAGCAAATTCCTCATACCCGCCCAATGGCATCAAATGCATCACTTCATATCAAATTGTGTTACCTTAAATTCTTCACTACACTCTAAAAAGCATCAGTCAGATGCATCATCAATTATTGACTTCTAAAAAATAGTTATGCAAATAATTGAAATTGGAGTCGAACCCAACTACTTTATCTAGTCATAGTATGCAACTTTGCATGTTTAACTAAATTCCTAGTCAATTCTCAATAACTAGGAAAACAAATCAATATTTTGACTAAGTTATTTTTAGAGTGTATGAGTGAGTTTCCTTCCTATTAACTATTAAGTCACTTTTTACAATATTATTCTTTCGTAAATACCTATGCAATCACATATAATAATATCTGAAAAACATTTCTAAGAGACCAAGCACATTTTACACAACACTTAAGTGCACTGCAAATCTTAACATTAGGCTATATGCTAAAATAAACCATATACATCTTTAAAGAAAACAAAGAATCCAAAGCTAATTTATTGAAAAAAATTCAAGCAACAAAAAAAAAACATTTGGGAATATTGTGACAAACAATCCTGAAAGTTGGAAATTGGAATGAAAGGTTGCATGTTACTATTGGGTGATGTAGCATCAAGAAAGGTAGAAGGCAATTATTTCCGATTCCCTTGGAGCAAACGCAAACATATATCCAGCTCACAGAGAGTGGACAAGAAAGGGCTCAAGAAAGAACAGAATAGAGTTAAGAAAAGACAGGCAAAAGAGTTGGCAATCTTAATCTGAAGCTTTCCAGGAGGGTTGACTTATACATGTATGTCAATGTGTTCTTGGATGAGATTGCACCCTTCTCTGGCAACCGATTTCGTTGAGTCACAATATATTTCATCTCTTCCCTGGTCTCATACAGGCCCACAATTGAATGCCTTAATGGAAGGCCTGTCATGAAAATCGTCGTTTGTCACTCATGGGTCAAAGAATTAAGCATTTGAGCGTCTTCCTAGTCGTCATCATCATGGTCATGATATTTTCAACTTCAGTCGACAAAGTTGTCATAGACATCGCTCTGCTCTATAGATGGAATCACTTTCTCGCAGTGGAATGTCCTAGCGTTTCGAATTTATTTAAGTATATAGGCTGTTCCACCTACAAGCCTTGGTTTATGTGAACAGCCTTGTTTTCTCCTATAATTCTCTTTTTGAACTTCGCTTGCTTTTAATCTTAATTTTAATAATCAGATTCAAATCATTATTTGTTCTCGTGGTAATTACCTTTATGTTCATATTTGTATTCGTTTATTCAAATATCGATGTATTATACGTACATTATCTAACTTTGTATTGGTTAATTGGAGAGTGCTAAATAAATTTCAACTGAATTGAATTGAATTGAATTGAATATTATACCCTTGTTCAGAAGTATTTTTATGTATGTATTCATATTCTTCGTAGATCGAGGATCTTAAGCGTGGTTTCTGATGTGTGCCTGCAGTGCCATCTGTTAATTCCCGTTGTACCAGGCAACGGCCGACGTCGTATAACTTTTCTATCTAACTTTGAAAGATAATCATCAGCCCCCACCCCCCCCCCCTCCCACCTAGTCTGAATATCACCTGTTATCCACCGCGGCCCTCTGTTGGCAAAAGGGTGTATCTCAACATTTTGACTTTTTGAGATTTTTTCACTTTCGGGGTAATTGAGGGCGCTCTTTTCAGCTGTCAAAGTATTATTTCAATGCTACGCACCAATTCAAAGTTAGAAAGGGCTATCTGGATAGATTTTCTGAAAGTTTGTCCCACTTTCTCTGGCAAAAGGGTGTATATTCGAGATAACCCCTTATACTGAACACTTATTGCCGGTAAAAGGGGGTATATACCTCTTACATTGCTTTGCCAGACAGCATAAAGATACTCCCATTTGCCAGATTAGTATTGCATAATTTAACAAAGTAAATATATATACACCCTTTTGCCTGCAAAATGTTGTAGGAATGAACAATGTAAAGTGACATACCCCCTTTTACCAGAATAGTGTCACAGAAATGAACAACGTACAGTGACATACATCCTTTTGCCGAATTAGCACTTTTATCTTTGCTTACGTTGTATAGCAGTCATAGAGAAGTAACATTTAAAACTGCTATTATAGAAAAACTCCTTCCTCAAAACTATCAAAAACTCCAGCAGATTTAATTGATAAGGTCAGCTATCTCACACTACAAAAATATCAGCAAATATGGAACTGTCCGTGTATTGTGAGATTTTGAATTTTCAAAGCCGTTTTGCTCAAAAGTTGATTTTCAGAGTTACACCCTTTTGCCAGCAAAGGGCCGACCTGGTATAACGTCTGATACCTCCTGACATGGACATTTATGCAAGCCGCGCGCCAGCCAATAGGAGTCGACCTTACTAAATCGTGACGTCATTTCATTCCCAAATCTGGACTTAATAGTTTGATTAGTCAATTCTAATGCAGTGTTTTGTGATACAACAACCGGCCCCGTATCGCGTAACATGATACAGAACGCGTGACACTTTTATTATCCATTGTCTATGTGATGCGCAGCGGGTGAATGTCCGAAGACTCGAAATAAAATGCGCTTACTGATTGGTCAAAATCTCAGAGGTCAAGAGGCGGGTTCTTGCCAATTAATCAGCAAATCTGTTCGCGCGTAATAGACCACGACATTATCTATTACATATACTACCCTCGCCCTCCCCCCTCCCCCCCCCCCCCCCCGCCAAAATAGAAAGGTCTACATTTTAAAAAATATCCTTTTCGTACCGTGGCTAACCAATTTCTTTCACAATTGTGCCCCTCCCCTCCTTCTAACGGGAGACGCCATTGCGTATATATTGTCACAGTTGATGCCGAATGCCGTCTTTCCCCCTTATTTTCAAGTAATTCCATTCCTTACTTTTACTTTCATTTCCTTTTCTGCCGCAGATAAAGGTCAGGTTAATACAGCTTTACGTTGATTTTTCTTGTGTTTTTACTTTCAGTGCGTACTTGACGTAATGACGTACGTGGAGAACAGTACCTACGTGCGCACTGTCCCATAGCATGTGCGCTGAAATTCGGCGAACCATTAACATATGAATATTTATGAGTTAATTGAATAAAGCCATGGACACTTTTGGTTTTTGGTGTGCGCGTGTCTTTGTAATTATTTTTAATGTTAATAAGTGCCGTAGTCATGTGATGAAAGAGAGAGTTATCCCCGGGAAAGAAAATAACCCGAGAGGTTTGTTCGCAATTGCGATGCATTTTTGAAGAGCATTTTCGCTGATTTGAGACCAGGATCGGTCGTGAAGGGCCGGATGTCCAAGGGACCAAGACCCTATCTTACTGTAAGTATGGTTTATTTCATCAATTTGGTGTATTTTGATTTTTCAAACGAATTTTGCATTTATTTTTAAAGCGGTCGACAAGGGCGGATCCAGAACACAATTTTTTTGGGGGCCTAAAAAAATTGTGTCTCCCTTTGCCCCCCCCCCCCCTGGATCCGCCCTTGGTGGTCGAAAACCGGGTTTGAACAAAATAATAGTCTGGTGACTGAGTTGATTTGTGCTTATCACGATATCCGTTTTACTAGAGATTAGAAGTTTGATTGTAATTTAATGTTTGCTCCTTAATTCTTAAAATGATAATCAGGAGAAGATGAGGCATTTTGTGATGCTAGAATGATTCTATGAGGATTTTTTTCTCGAAAAACACTGATCGCTTGATATAGCCTTTGTCTTCTTGAAACACGTGTTTTATGTATTATAATTTGAGATAGATTGTTATTAGTTGCATTGTGTAATATTTATTTGTAGACGGCACTTTAGCCGGAGCTAATGCGGGGCCAGCGACTTAAATTGAGACAGACAGGTCCATAAAGTCCACATAGTTGGGTGCCGAGCGCGCCGCACAGACGCCAGGCCGACTGATGAGTGACGCTCATCAGCCTTGAAGTTCGCCGGACGTGGCTGGCTGATGCTCATTTGGAGCGGAGATCGTCCAACTTTGTGACGATCGACATAGCTATAGAGAGCCGACGCAAGGGGATTGCCGGACTTTCCACGGAACCCAGAATAGTCTTGTGCAACAAGACCGCGGTGGGCCCATTTAGTTGGAAAGTGCACATATTTTGGAAAATTTTATTATTTATTTGTTTATTGTCTAGTTAGTTAATATTCTATTTACTTGAGTTAAACTAACAATAAACTCTTAAGTTGTAGGTTCAATTGATTAATTACTGGTCGATTTGAGTGATTACCGAAGTACCCTTTGTGATTAAATTTGAGTTTATTTGACATTGATCGCATCTATTTTGTATTTCCGGTTAATTCTTGATCATTCCTTTTTTTTAGCACATTTCATTGATTGGTTGATTTGTTTGAACATTTTATGCGCTGGGCCTATCAGCTCCAACAGAGGCCTACGAGTAAATTCTACCTTGTTTATTTACACATTCCACAAGTTACCAGGTTGACCAGATGTACTGTATATAATTGTAATTATAATGGAATTTATTATTATTTTCTATTAATAAATTACAGTTCACCCACAACGCCGGACAATAAGTTTAGCGGGGGAATATATATATATTGAAATGTCTCCCTAATTCCAAATGTCCCCCAAAGGTATAACTTATGACGCGACATCGATTTTTTGCCACCCACACAGCTGCCAGGTCATTTGCCGACATGTTTATCGCAATTGGTCTTTTATTGCGCTCAAAATGAGGCACCGGCTCTTGCCCGATTCAGCTTCGACTTTCTTGGTAATTTCTTCAGAACTAAGTTTTTGCCCATTTGTGTGTCTGCCCCGGATGTTGCCCAATGAATGTGCATCCTTGACGACAGCCTTAGTGTTTGCTTGGCGCTTAGCATTTTCCAGTGACACAACTCTCATCTGCCAACCTTCGGTTTTCGTTTCCTTCTCTGACTCAATTAACATGTCTAGGTAATCCATTACTCCTATGGGATCAGGCTTGAGGGCGATCTCTCGAAGGCGCTGGGTACAACGGTGAGACTCATCGATCAACTCAGACACAGCAGCTTCCGATTTGACCAGATCAGTTTCAATACACTTGATCACTTCTTCACGGGTTTGTTTTCGCCCCTGGGCGTCTCTGTATTGGTTCTTAATGTCAGCGTACGTCTGTTTCTCTTTCACCATTTTCCAATGATACCTGAAATACTCATGGACGTGGTCACTCAAGGAACACTTGCCAGGACACACAGTGCAATAGCCCTTCTTTATTGCATGGCACAAAAGCTTTCCTTGAGAGAAGGTACATGGGTGGTGACAGGTGTAGAGGCAATTGGAACAATTTGTGGAGCCCTTGTCCTCATCTCGAACTTTTTCAAGTTTTGGAGCGTTAACCATGTATTCGAAAGACTTATTTGCCTGTATTTCCTTTTCATGTTCTTCAAGAATTTTTTTATCTTTTTTTAACTGCTCTGTTTGTTCCCAAGCGAACAGAATCTGAGACTGCAACCCTTCTAAAGCAACCTCTAGACTTTTTCGTTCCTCTAGAACTTCTACTGTGAGGCTAAGACTTTGCGGCTGTAGGTCGTCAAGAACATAAAAAAACTCCTTCATACTTGTGTACCCCATTTGCCAGACCATTGCATCAAAGGACATTCCAACATCTCCTCGACTAGCCAATAGTGCCGAGTTGTTGAACTTGAACGTCTTATCGAAAGTTAGCTTTGCCTCGTGTATTGCCTCGAGGACATTCGGTGATTGCCCGTCACAAAAGGTGATCAGCAGCACTATATTTGACTCAATATCCTTACCAAAAATGGCAAGAATTGACTCAAAGACATATTTCTGTGCCGGGGTGAGACGAGCTTGTGAAGACTGAACAACGAAACCTACAGCATCGATGTGATCCACACCATGGGCTTCAGGGTGAGAGAAAAACTCTCGGATCTGTTCAACAATAGCTTTATCGCGCTCAATACCTCTAGTATCCCCGAACCCTGGGGTGTCAATGAGTGTCAACGTGTAGGGAACGTTGATGTGATAGTTGTTATTGATTGTATACGACGTTATATTTTGTGTTTGACTATAAGCCTGTGATCCAGACGCTTCCCCTCGGTCATGTACCAGCTTGAATCTGAAGTTATCTTCCCACTTCACCTCTAAGATGTAATTGATCATCGCATTGATAAATGTACTCTTACCGGTGCCTGTCTCACCAACGACCATTATTACCTTGTGAGGCGAGTGCATTCTCGATGGCACACCGCAACTATAACTACGGAATGTTTGTGTAGAAGAAACTGACTGCATCTTCAAAGGAACCAAGAAAACATCAGGGTGCCCAACTTCTGAAGAAACAATTGGAGTGCTCTGATGAGCAAGATGTTCGGCATATCTGGCCACACTACTGTCGCTGGTGGTACCCATGGTGAAGACGCTATATCCACACTTAACCTAAAAAGAACAAATAAAGTGCTTCAATGGTTTAATCAGTCGGGGTTATGCTGAACCAGACGGGAAGCCTGTTTCACTGACTCACTGACCCTTACCTTAACTGTAACATTTGCATTACACTTGGTCCATTTGAAATTAAACCACATTTTAAATATGCTAATGAATGGGCCAAGTCCAATCCACAGTGTAAGCCACAGGCATGAATTTGTTTTCCGGTGATTATAGCCATTCCGAATCGATATGAATGAGTTGTGTGCATTATGCGACCAAACTTATTAGACATGCGTGGTCTCTTTTAGAATGACATTATTGTAGGTTTCCGGATTAAAACACTTACATGACCTTAAAAGTTATACATTTAATAAATCTTTACTTTTATTAGCAGAAGGAATTTTTTTAAAAGTATGTGTGTGTGGCGTCTATAACATGACAATAATGCAATAAAAAGTTAAGTTAATTAAAGAATCAAACTTTGATCAATCATGAATCGTTTCCTACTGTATAAAATGAACCAAAATAATCGTGGTGATTTCTTAATACTTTGTTAATGCTGCACGTATAGCTTGATAAACATAGTTCTTCAAGCTTAATCTTGAGGAATAAATTACATTGGCTAAGTGTTGGTATGCAACTAATATTGGATAATATTGAACTAATATTTCGATTTAAATTAATGTTCTGTTCTTTCAATATGTATGATTTTTGTGAAATTGAAAATCTAACCTTAAGCTCAGGATAACCAACACCGGTTCGAAATTACAAAATCAACGAAATGGTTCATTAAATTCAGCTGGCTGTATTTGACAATTAAGCATTTGGAACAAAAACTAGATATGTTCGTCAACAAATAAATTTCAGAACAATAGTCCGTGGGCTATGGGTGGTCCCATTACACCCCCTTCCCCCAGCACCCACCGCCACCGATATTTGTATTATCCTTGGCATGTCCCCAATAGGAAAAAGATGGTAACAGTGAAGTTTTAGGGATGCACTTTCTCAGGAGGCCACTTATTGGAACCGCCTGTGATTGAGCTAAAATACATTTTCTTAGCACTAGGGTTTAAAGGGAAGGATACAAAACGCCATCACCTAACCACACCTTTACCAATCTTAATCAAACGTAGCACAACTAATCTTTATGAAATGCTCTTCAAAATATATTTGGTGGTCATGGAAACTAACTATAGAGTGTATTACATTCAAACGAAATACACACATTTATTTTCAAAATTATACGAACATTTTTCACCTTTTAAACATTGCAGACTCCTGTTCATATTAAAAGCCACCAAATCCTAAAACAGCACATAAGTTATGATTATCAACTATTGTTTAACTATTGGAGAGTAAGGTCTTGGTCAATTGAATGTTTAATAGCATTTCTATGAGTTAAACACCGTCCTGCTGAATCCAGGTTCTGGTATTCTTAGCCTTTGGGTTTGGAGGTGGTGAGTCAATCTTCCAGATACACGGACATACTTTTACTAATCTTGGTAAAACTTGACATGGTATATGTTCCTATATAATATATCTTTCAGAAAATGTCTTGAATTGCAATGGAAACCGACTATAGAGGGCGCTATACCCGAATGAATATTATAATATACTTTTTTCAATAAGTAGAGGTTTATTGTTATTGCAGTCTTAGTGGCAGTTAAAATAACGAAAAATCTTAAATAGAAATGTGGATGCGGTCCATACTAACCTGTTGAAGCCATTCTGGTGGCCACATTTGGGTAAAATATTGAAGTTACTTAATTGATTGAAGATATTGACATCATGTGCTTATTCAAAGTATGTTACTGTTCTAAACACCGTGGGTGATCATAACATTGCCCCGGTTCCTCGCATTAAGACTCTCGGCGTCTTCCTCGACTGTAACATGAATATGAGGTATCACATTCAAGAGGATTCTAGGAAAGCAATGTACCATTAATTTACATAATATTAGTAAGATTAAACGATACCTCAGTCACTCACTAACTGAACAAGTTATACACATGCTTGTAACGTCACGCCTTGATTTCTGCAACGCAGTGTTAGTGGGTAAACCAGCCTCAACACTTGCGCCACTACAGTGGGTGCAAAATGCAGCTGCGAGGCTTTTAACCGGTACAAGAAAACATGATCACATATCCTGCCCTCAGTCGACTCCACTAGCTTCCAGTCAGATTTAGGATTATCTTTAAAGTGTCTGCTTATATCTTAGTGTTTGCAAGGCTATATACTTCTGCGACTTAGTTCATACCGGACTCAGTACCAGAAGTACCTGGCTATCTGATGATTTGTCCAGACCAACGTTCCCAAAGACTAAACCTGCATCAGCTGGTGACAGAATGTTCTCTGCAGTAGGCACACGTCAACCTGCGGAATGCTGAGTCCGTATCTATTTTCAAATCCAGACTCAAGACACACCTTTTCAGAGAAGCCTATTATTAGACAATTTACAATTGAGAGCTATTTTGTCTTTGGGGGAAAGAGAGGGTGTATGTGATATTTCCTGTTTTGGACGGTTTTTTTATTAATATATTCTCAAATTTTATCATTTGTTCTAGTATTTTATCCTTTTATACTTTTTGATGTTACATGAGCTTTCATAATTTTGTCGCCACAGGGTTATGTTTGTTTTCGTTCACTGTAGGCCCTATGCACAATCTTTGTGTATTTTTGCATCAAATTTCCTCCAAATTTTTTGTGTGTGTTTTCGTTCCGTCATATTTGCTTAGTCATCTACGATGTGTGTGTACCAGGGGGTTTAATTGGATTTTATTTTCATTAAGGTTCTGCTATTTGTCGCCTTAGGGTTCTATTGTTTTTCGTTCACTGTATGTACAGTCTTTGCGTGTTGTTCATCAACTTTCCTCATATTTGTTGTCTTCTACGTTGGTGTTTTTGTAGGGGTTTAATAACCTGATTGTTTGTTCACTTTGTTTATTTTATAAATAAAGTCTTGCTATATTTCGCCTTAGTGTTGTTTATTGTTAAATCACTGTATGTACAGTCCGTGTGCATTTGTATATCATATTTCGTCTTATTTTTTGTCTACGTTTAGTGTGTACTAGAGGGTTTCACATGATTGTTTTTACTTTATTTTTAATTGTTTTTTATTGTAATTTTGATGTTCCTAGCAGGCCCTGGATATTGTGTATTTATATTTTTGTTGTGCTGTTTTTATTGCATTTTAATTGTTTTTATACCTCAAATTTTTGTTTACTATATTTTAAATGTACTTGGTTCATTCCTCTCATGTATGTTTTCTTTAATTTATCTTAATTAGTAACTGTTTATTCTTTTATTTTTTGTATCATATTTGTAAAGCGCCTGGTAGCATTTCATTTAAATGGATTCGGCGCCATATAAATGTATAGGTTTTCCCGGCCAATTTCCTTATTATGTTCATTCACTTCTAAAAATCGGTCATTCATTTTCGTCTGAAATTGAGAATTGCTCTGAACCCGCCTTTCATTTTTGCTACCGCTCTGGTAGCAATTAAGTGATTGAGCATTTTGTTCATGTTCATTCAGATTGATTAAAAGACTTCCTTTTCACTTTTAAAGGAAGATTTTAAACATTGGCCATTCTATTCCACTTTTAGGCCCCCCCCCCCAAAAAAAAAAAAAATAAGTCGGTCTCTGGTCAGCGGGCGCGTCGATTTTAATCACGCTCGTCAACCTGTTTTTCTTCAAATTGTTCGCGGTAGCTACAGCAGCGCCCTCTATTGCTGCATCTCCTCAAACTTTTGTACCAAGGAATGGGGAAATTGCACCAAGGCAAATGATGGAGGGCACCAAGGCAATTATGGAGGACCCCAATGTATATGAGGACACAACAAAAGCATAATAGTACCCACCTTGTCTGTACAATCCAAGCTTGAAAAAAAGGCCTTAGGTTAATGTTATGTGATGCAATTTTGACTGAGAAAAACGTACTTTTGATTGCACATTCACGAAATTGTATTCCAGAACTCCGCGCGAGAAAAGGTATGCTTGCGTAAAGGAATGCACAGGTAACGTAATTGGCCGTCTGTTTCTCAAAACCGAATGCACGGACAATGAAAAACTGTTGTTGAATTTTGTTGAAAGGACGTGCATTAATAATCAGACGCAAATATATGACCGGTTTTCAGAAGTGAATGCACAGTCCGGGAAATTGACCGGGAAAACCTATATTAAATTACGAATTGCTGCTATAGGGCGACAGATTTCTCAAGTGTCGTCTGGATTAGGACAACACGCCGCATTTGGGCGACAATTAAAATTTTGGTATCGTCCTATTGTTGAAACGACCGATGACAAGGAATGCATTGTCGCAACCCATCCAGATCGATTCCTTGTCGTACAATTAGCTTAAATACCGAATTTCGTGGAAAACATATTAGGTAAACTTGGGTTAGTTGACAGTTTAGGTTTGTGCACAAGTAAATGGGAAAGTGGCCTTATTATAGTATATAACGAAAGCTTTATATCGAAAAGAGGACGTGTGTTCAGTTTATAAGCCAACTGTATGCACTCAATCTTGCACTAACACTTATTCGTCGCGTATGCTTCACATGTTGCTCCGTGCTGACAGTTCATTACAAAGTAAACTTCTATGTTTGAAGCCGTCCGGGGCGCAGAAAAAAATAATCCATGTGCGTGTTTGTAGAACATAATAAAATTTGATGGATTGAATTTTGAAGTGTACTCTAAATGCAACGCGCAAGTGGAGCGTACGTTATTATACAAACTATTGAATGCTTCGAGTGGTGTAGTAAAAATAGCCTCCCGAGGTGATCCATGGACATTCTATTTTCCCAAGGCGAAGCCGAGGGAAAATAGAATGCTCCATGGATCACCGAGGGAGGCTAGTTTTATTTCACCACGAGATAAGGCATTCAATATTTGTTTTATAACACTTTACCCACAGATTCTGCTTGGCTATAATTTTTTTAATTATTTAAATCTAAACACTGTTGAAATAAGCTTCAATTTCAATACAAAATTGGTGGAAAATGTAT